AGTCGTGAAAGTGTCCTAATCTTAATGTTTATGTCGATTTTCATTTCTTTAGTGGTCAGAACAACATTCGCACTTTTAATTTTTAAGGATGGCAGGTACTGATAAGATTCGTACGAAGGGATTAATGTTACTGATAACGATACTGTCGAGTGCACATGACGCTGTTTGCTCACCATTTCCGAAGAATTAATTGAAAGTTGTTCCAAAGGTTAGACTTGAATTGCCAAAAGGCGTTGTACGGAAGTGTCACTCGGCCCTTTTATTTTTATGATTGATAAAAGTGGCAATTACTATGTAGTGAGGTGATTGGTGGCATTTGCTGATAAAATTATTTGCTAAAATTAAGATGATAAGAGGTTGTATAGAGACAAGTAGTGTCATGCATTTGGAAATTGTGTGAGCTGAAACAAAATAGAGTTGAAGAAAGATAAATGTACGCCCAACTCCGAAGTTAATTGGTATTGTGTATGAATAAAATCTTTATAGTATATAAATATTTCTTATCGTATTTAGTTGTTCAAACTGCAATATGAGTGCGGACGAAGAAAATGCTGAGGATATTGGATGTATTTGCAGTGATTGTGGATCTGTGCAGATTCCGAATGGGTCTGGCAGTGACTGTCAGGTAAGTACTAAAAAGTTATCTTTATCATTTTTTGAATTATCCTAACACATCAGTGATTGATAAATTGGTTGACCAGTTGATAATGAAGTCAGACACTAGCAGTGAATGGTTATTTGGTTGAAACCAATATGCAAGGAGTTGATTGATAGATTGAATAAATAAGTGAGAATAGAGTGGTAAAATAGTTCTTATATGAATAAAACATGGCCAGTTATGTATTTCATAGTTACAATTATTCTAATATTTACTTTGTACGTTTCAAAAAATAGCAATACTTAAATTCCACATCACAAAATCTTTTCTTGAATGTTAGTAATGCTGTATTCTAGGAGATTTCTAGCGAAATTAGTGGCTATCAGGTGTTCGGTTATGGTATTGGGCATTTTTACAATGATTTATGTGCAAGTATGTGGTTTACTTATTTCTTGTTGTTTTTGGAAAAGGTCATCGGCATACGCAGTCCTGTCGCGGGTTTTATAATGCTTATTGGACAGGTTTTATTTGATATTTTTTGGCGCTTTTTTGATTTAACAATCGTTCATTATATACTGCATTAGAAGAGTGTTAGTAATAATAATAATTTGTAAATAATATTACAGTCTCATGCACTAAAATACGAAACAACTGTTTGTTTTCATGTTTTTTTACGCATCACAAATTTCATATTCTGTTGCTTTCTGCAGGAAAAAATATTACTACTGTAGTACCTTTTCATTAACGCTTATAGATCAAAACATATAATTTTTCTTGGATAAAGAAAGTTTTATTTTGCTTCATTTCATTTTGAATTGGGATGAATTCATATTCTCTATTGAGCAAAGTAACTACCTGTATCTGCTGATTCTTTATCAGGCTACTGATGCCGTGAGCACTGCATTGATTGGAGTTCTTAGCGACACAGTATCTGCACCACTTTGTTTTCGACATAGTGGACGAAGAAAATCGTGGCACGTTTTTGGTGTGTAATTTAGTTTTGTTATTAATACTTGATTCGTAATAATTTTGTAAAATCGTCCTGTTATCAATTTGCTTATCTTTTGAACTAAGATCTGAGCTGTATATGTTTTATCTCGTGTAATGTAATACTGCTTTTTCACTATTATCTATATCAAGAAAAAGAAAACTTCTTTTATAGGCACTGTTCTGGTCACATTTTCATTTACCTTTATATACAATAAGTGTTTTGTGTGTCTTAAATCCAAAACTGATTGGGATCTTTTTGCATGGTACGCTCCATTTGTAATTGTATTTCAAATTGGATGGGCTGCAGTTCAGGTGGTCACCTTTTTACTGCTTGCTGATTCACGCTTTTTCTAATCATTGCAGTTGTAGGCTTCAAAGATGATTGAGTACATATCATAATTTTCATAACTGCTTTAACTTCATAAACTTTTTTATGATATTCACATCTTGAATAATTAAGTCATAAAGGGGCGCTTCTGTAGATCTCACATTTGTCTTTGCTACCAGAGTTAACAAGCAACGAAAGCCGTCGAACGACAATGAATTCTGTCAGGTTTTTTTGAATATAAATTTCAGTTGCCTTGATTCTAAAAAAGTGCCATATACTAATTTTTACTCATTTCTTTGTTCTTTGAGATCGTTTTTATAGATATGGAGGTGCAGTAGTTGCAAATCTGTATATTTTTGGTATTCTCTTTATATTACTGCATTTTGATGATAGTGGATCTAACATTGGTCCATCTGATTTGAATCACTTTAGTGTAAGTGTATTTGTTTGTAGTTTTTCAGTCCAATAGTTAACTGTGCTAGATCTGTCATGTAAATCTGTTTCAGACAGTTGCATACACGGTCATTGTCTTGGGACTGTTTACTGGTATTATATTTTATATTACAACTGATGAGCCTTCAAGAATTGATAGAGCTGGGGAAATTGCTCAACAACACCAATATAGAATTTCAGTTTCATTAAAATCATCAATTCTCAGATGGATGTGTCGTTTCCAATTTTATCAGGTAATCCTTTGTTCTAAAAAGTGCCAGATTTCTTAAAAGGTACTGAAAGTTTTATATTTCTGTCCCTTAGGAAGTAGTTTCATCTCTATAGTAACTTTCAAACAATTTATATGTGAGGTGCCCGATCATGATTAGATACTTTCTAAATGAAAAACTTTGAAATGAATATATGGCTGAGCAGCTAATTTACTTTGTATTATAATAAATGGTACTTACTACATATGGAATATATCAAAAGAAAAAACTGTGGCAGTCGTATAGAAATGTGCTCGAAAAAAGTCATATCATTTTGTTATTTGAAAATTGATTTTTTTACTAAATAATGTGTGTCCAATATGAAGTAGGCTGCAAACTAGGCAGTTCTCATGTAAAGAATTTTTCAAAGAATGAATAGTCTATAAACTTACTGAAAAATATCTCTATGAAGATATCGTCGAATAATTTTAACAACTTTTGTTCTTTCAGGTTGGCATGCTATATATGCTTTGCAGACTATATATCAATTTGTCCCAAATTTATTTTCCATTTTATATTGCTAACCTACCAAATCTTTCAAAGGTGATTCTACTCCATAATATTGCAGTGAATGTTCATAAAGCTTTTATTAGATGAAACTGTAAAAAAAACAACAGCCATGCATTTGGAAAACTCTTATTTTGGATGCTTCTGCATTGTTTTCACTTATATGTTATTCGGATGTGTTGTTATCTGTTATGTTTTCAGAAATATGTTGCTGTTTTACCCATGGTTTCCTTTTGTTCATCACTTTTAGTTTCTTCTCTGATTGGAATACCTTCAGTCAATCGTCGATTAAGTTTGGAGGTGAAATTCACCTTTTTTATCAGCGATTTTAACACCACTCCACCAGTATGTAAATAGTAGAAATTAAATTTAGATCCAAGTATTTAACTCTTTCGCTGTTTGATTTTATTGAATGACTGTTGCATATACCTCTTGATTATATTTCAAAAATGGAAAATTAGTCTCATATTATTCTAGTTCTTCAGTTTTGAACGATCCTATATTATCTTGATAGGAACAGATTCAGAAAATGATAGAAATGACTTTACAGATTGTGATTCTTATTTTTATATTAATCTTTTACGGATTTCAAAACTTGAATTATGCCAAATATTTACGTTGCTCGATGTTGAAGCAAGTTTTATCACTTTAAACCGGCACTTTCTACTTTGAAATTATCACTTGATATTGCATTTAAGAGTTTTATTGCTTCTATTCATATTATTTCGTTTTCAGATTTTAGCTTTGCTTGGTTGTTCAATTGGCATCATAAATTGTGTAGCAATGAAACTCATTACGAATTTTCCTGTTTATATAACTGCTGTTTTATTGGGCGCTGCTCAGGCAACTTTATTAATCACTTCTCTTTCCGTAGTTGCGAAGCTCATCAGTCATGAGACGGTTAGTGATCAAGTGATCATTTTTTCGACTTCACAGTTATCATTATTTGTTTTGATCTATTTATTTATCGCATTTCTGTGAATAAGCATCGCTTCTAAGTAATAAAAGTTTTCATTTTACTATGAAATTTAATGAAAACACCAGCATTTCCTTCGGATCCAATAATAATAATAATAATATACTTAGACTTTAGTTGTATTAAATAAATAAAATGTGGGGATTAGTTTTGATTTTCGCTTTATTGGTTCTGGCGCTGGATCGCATTCCGGCATTCTGGCAGTACTTTTCCCGCGCCCTGATTTGTCGTACTCATCGTTCTCGCTTCGTCCTCATGGAATCCATATCGACTGTCGAAGGAGATGCTTTCAAGCGTCTTCTTAAGAACTATCGATTGGATGTACGCCTCGACGTGGTCTGATATACTAATCTTCTTCGCACAGCATTTGTGGAAGTTCCTTGCAATCCCATCCCAAGTCATCACATACAGAATAATTTTGATTCTGCACTTCATCTCTGACCCAAGCTTATTAGCAATTAGATCATATCTTCTCTTTTTCTTGGACTTGAATGCTGTTAACCTGTCCTGACTAGTGATGCCAACCTTAATCAAGATTACTTCACGTCGCTTCTTATCCTGTATCATGATATGTGGTCGATTCGCTTTTATTCTGATTGCAGTTCTCATTTACGACGTCCTGAACAGAATGGCTTCGCAAGCGCGGGAATGCTTTCAGACCATACTTCTTGAAGAGTCTCAAGTGGATGGATCGTAGGACCTCATTGTGTCTTCTAGTGTAGTCGTGATGTAACATTTTTTCGCATTGCGTTGCTAGATGGTCCACCGTCTTCACAGCTCCTCACAATGCTGGC